GCCGAGGCCGAGAGGGCGCTCGCCCGCAGGGACGGCGAGGCCATGCCCGCGGCCGGTGACGGCCTCAGGGCGGGTGGTCGCCGGCAGGGTCGGTGCGACCGAGCCGCGGCCAGCGAGAGGGGCCGGGAGGACAGGGGATGCGCGGTGCGAGGGGGAGCGGACGGCGTGGGTGGGCGGTGCGCGGTGAGCGCGCAACGGGTGGCGCCGGAGCGTGTCGACCGCGGGCAGGGAGGGCGGTGACCGTGGCGACCTAGGGAGAGAGGGGGCGAAGGGGGAGCTCACGGGGGAAAGTAGGGTCAGGGCAGCGGGGCTCGGGGTGGATGCCGGGGACGACGTGCGGCGGGGAAGCAGGCCGGCGGGGGAGGGGCTCCGGTGAGGCGGCGTTCTCTGGGCGCGGGGCGGCGAGGTTGTCGCGGCGACGGGCGACGGGGTCGAGGGGTTTGCCCCGGTCCAGATCCAACCGAGAGAGGGGGGAGGAGGCCGGGAGGTGCTGGGCCGGCGAGGTGGCGTTGCGGAGGAGGATGGAGGCGCGGTGGGTGTGGCGATGGGAGGCGTCGGGAGCGCGGGATCGATCCCGATCCAGATCGGGAGAGAGGAGGGGGGCGCGCGGGGTGGGGCGAGTGGTGGTCGGGGAGCGGGTTAGGGTTTGCGGGGTGGGGGAATAAGGGGAGGGAGTGGCCGGCTGGGCCCTTGCCCAGCTGGGCCGGTGGCCGAATGGACCGGCCAGTTGGGTCGGCTGGCCCGGGGGGGGTGCTCACTTTTCTTTTCCTCTTTTTTTTCTTTTTTTTGTATTCTGTTTTTATTTATTTTCTTTAATTTATTTTCTTTAACTGTTTTAATTCAACTTAGGGCATTTAAGTATTTGATAAATTTGTGTTTTTTTACTATGATTACCTCTGTGATATTCGGCACAACCTGAACATTTTTGTTTCGATGTTTGAAAACTGTTGATGTTTGACAATATTTAAATTTTGAATTTGAAAAGTTTCGAACCGACGCGAGATTAAACAGTGACGGAGGTGACGTGGCATATTTAGCAGAGGTTACTGTAGCTTAATTATCCGGGCGTCACAACTTTGAATGAGTACTCATGGTTGCTTTGCTACCTCTTTTCCCCATCTAGCCGATTGCTGCGATCAGATGACGGAGCCCTGGAGCCAGCTGATCC